AAATTATAGGTCACAGATTACTTTTATTGATTACAAATTAATAAATTTGTAGGTCACACAATATTTATTGGTCTCTGTTTATTCTTTATTGGTTACATATCATCCAATTTATTGGTCACAATTCAACAAATCATTTGTGACCACCACCAACACAACACCACCGTCATCTCTGCCGCCCCCGCCACCACCACCACCACCACCACCACTTAAACACACCACCGTCGCCAACATCAACACCACAGAAACTACCACCACTACCACAGAAACACCATCACCACCCCCAACAACCTCCAAACCGCCGCACACCTCGCACATATCACAAACCTCCACCACCAATTTTAGCCTCCTTCGTACAAATCAGAAACCCCGCAGCACACCTCGCACAGATCACAAACCTCCACCACCAATTTCAACCTCCTCCGTTCTTCCACGCGGTGCCACCACCATCAACATCACTGTCATTCACCGACGCTCACACCTCCACCAACACCACTCGACACACCTCCACCGCATCAATGAAATTTTTTTTAAAAAAGGAAGAAGAATGGATCTGAACCAAGACCGGGTCTGTACAAAGCCGCTGTCTCATGGAGACTGGGCTGCCCATGGAGGAGAAACCTAGTCTGCACAAATTAAGCCGCCGTCTCGTGGAGATTGGGCTGCCGACGAAGGAGAAAGTGCAGAGGCGAGAGGAGAAAGTGGAGAGGTAGAGGAGAAAGTGGCGTGGAGAGGATATGAATTAGTTTAGGGTTTGAATAGTTTAGGAAGATATAAAAATAAAAATATTTTTTTTTAAATCTTTAATTAAAACCTGATTTTTGTAGTGAATTGTTTAAAAAATCACTGAACTTATACCATTGTCATGCACTGCTCACCGAACTTTATTATGCTTCATANGAACGACGGTGAGAATAGAGAAGGAGGAGGAAAAATTGGGGATGAAAAATGTATAATTAATAATTAAAATCTTTAATTAAAACCTGATTTTTGTATTATGAAATTAGATACCTGATTTGTGAAAATGGTATTTTAAAACTAGGGATATGTGTAATTTCCTCTAAATTAAATTAGTTCTCATACCAAAAAAGTTCTCAGAGAAAAGAGAATGCATTTATTTATTTTACATGTTTATATTTTCCACAAAAACTACCTTTAAATTTCTTTATTTATTTCTACATTTTTTTGGCTTTTATTTTGATGGTTTTGGGTGGGAATTGAAATCATTTTGATATTACTAAGAGCTTGTTTGAGCTCATTTTTCTCTTAATAATGCATTTTGAAATAATAGATTGATGGAGAATGTGTGGTTGAAAAGAAGAGATATAAAAATGCATTTTGAAAATAATGTGAATATGAAGAATTCAATAAAATATATAAGAAAGAACACAAAGAATTACGTGATTTGGCGCCATGGCAAACCTACATCCACGGGAGAAGAGAAAAGACTATATTCGCTTATATTCGAAGTGTTACAATGACACGTATACGGGAATTAATGATAATTATCAAGACAAAATCTTCTATCATTCAATAATTTGTTAATGAAGGTAAAATTCGATATGTACATATAAAAGGGCTTTTCAAGACGGATGTTCAATTCGTGTAAAACTCAAACGAGCTTGAATAATCAAAAGTTGAGCTGCGATCGATCCCAATACGATCTTTATGCAGTTTTCGCACCCTACGAAGTATTTTACTTGAGCATTCAAAACACTGCATAAACTGAAAAATCACCCAACCATTTTCTCCGTATATGACAAAAGAACCACTTAAGCTCCATACTATTGCCAAGCGAGGTGCCAGCTGTTAGCACTATGAGACTCTAGTTCGTGTTAAATCATGCAATGACAAAATGATGATCACTTTCAACCAAATTTCAACAAAAGCCAACGTCAAGGTTGTCAGTACAGTATTATAGACCTCTTCAAAACACACACAGTGCTCGCACTTAGGAGAAACAAAAAGAAGTAATGGAATTATCTTCATTTTCATCCATTTTCTTGCTACTTCTCTTTGCTTTTGCTTTAGCAGAAGTGGAATCAGTATATTTTCCAGGAATTTACCAGTCTTCATTGAAGAAAATTGGCAAAACTGTGAAGCCAAAGATACCTTACAAAGCCCGGTATTTTCCTCAGGTTTTAGACCACTTCACATTTCAACCAAAGAGTTACAAAATATTCTATCAGAAGTATCTGATAAATAGCCAGTACTGGCACAAAGGAGCCCCCATATTTGTGTATACAGGCAATGAAGGAGATATCGATTGGTTTGCTGCCAATTCTGGCTTCATGCTTGATATTGCTCCTAAGTTTCATGCTCTCCTAGTCTTCATTGAGGTACCGAATTTCCTCTCTATCCCCTTTTAGTCGAGCTCTCCCTTTTCGGGGAATGGCTGCAATCACAAGCAAGTGTTTACGTTGAGGCTTAATCATAGTGTAGATTTCTCTTATCGAGTATATTAGGCATCCCACAAGTATTAGACCGTCTTAATATTCTTACATGAAAATTGCACCAGCAAGTAGCCATCCTCTAAAGCTAATTTCAGTATTTCCAAGTTGCTCGAACGCTCTTATTATGCAAAGTTTGACTATAATTTTCTTTTTATTGATTGAAAGCAGATCTTGATATTGGAAGATTGAGAGAAGGGTTTTTCTACGAGTTAAAAATTGATGCTAGAACTTTATTTTTCCTTGAATTTTCAGCATAGGTTTTATGGAGAATCAATGCCATTTGGGAAGCATTCTTACAGGTCTGCAAAGACATTGGGGTACTTGAATTCACAGCAAGCACTGGCTGATTATGCAGTCTTGATAAGAAGTTTGAAGCATAATTTATCTTCTGAGGCATCCCCAGTTGTAGTCTTTGGAGGGTCCTATGGTGGAAGTATGTCTACTTAAAGATTCCTTTCAAACTTTAGCTTATGA